CCGGTCTCTGGATGTGAAGGGCTCCAGGATCTGGGCTGCAGAGGCAGGACTGTGGGAACTAGAACCCCCGGCTCCTCGGCCAGGCCAGCCCCAGTCTCCTCCCCAGACACAGACATCCCCAGGGGGTGGGGCAGACCTGCAGTACCACCAGGGGCAGCCTGCCCCACCATCCCTGGCTCCACTGGGCCTGGGGCCAGTCACTGTCACAGGTTCCTGAATTTCACAGAGCAGGGCAGACCCACGGCGGGGGGCAGGGTGCCAGCATTCAGGGCCAGACAGCAGGGGCCCAGCCAATCCCTTCACACACTTGGTCTTCAGAGAGGAGGCTTCTGAGCCAGGAGGGCCACTGTATTGGGGCCTGGCTTGAGGCCACACCTGTGGCTGGGGGAGCCCAGAACAGCACAGGCTCCTCCCCTGGTCCGCAGAGAGAGGCAGGGGTCCTTACAATCTGGGGGTATGCGAAGAAGCAGGCCCTGTGTCAAGGGATGTGAAACCACGGAAAGGAAGAAAGTGGAGGAACCTGTGTAGCTCAGAAAGAGGGAAGCGAGGGCAGCTGCCTTCCCTGGGGCCCCAGAGCCCGAGCACCCCCCACCAGCTGTAGGCTCTGACCCACCCTCCCCATCCTGTAATTAGTCAGAGACCCAGTCCCACCCCACCCACAGCCCCACCCCAAACACAAACAGCCACTACTCCTAAGGGAGGGAGGGGCTCGGCCCAGCCCCAACCCCACCGAATCCCCCACCCCCAGAGAACCTGGATCCGCCTCACAGAAGGGAGGTCAAGGCTGGGGGGCCCCTGGCTGGCCACTGGGTGAGTTCTGAGCAGCTCACCACCTCATCCCCAAACCGCATCCAAGGACGGCTCTGGGTACAAGAGGTTCCCCACCAACTTCCAAGGAGGGCGGCCAGGCTGCAGCCAGAGGGACAGAGGCATGAGCTGAGTGAGAACTCCCATCTCAGGGGAAGGCAGCCCTCGTGGCAGAGGCCTGGCATCCAAGTGCCTGCCTAGCTTAGAGAAGGCACAATATGAGGGGCCGGAAGACACAGTTTTTCCCAGCCAGTGCACCCCTGCCCACGCCCATGTCCCAGGGGGACCATCGGTTGTGGCTGGCACAGCATGAGGCAGGGGGCAGGACACAGTGAGAATGGACGACGTCCTGGGCTGGGAGGAGAACTGTGCCATATGGGCCCTCCCCAGCACCTTCCAATCCAATCTCTTCTGCTCCACTTCCCTGGGCCAGGGCCAAGCCCCTGGGCTTTCTGCACTTGGGGCCAGCTGCCGGCTCCACCTCCCCGATGTGGTCCCCATGCAGGCTGCTGGGCACACGCCCCGGGTGCACACACAGCATGGACCCAGAGCGCCCGGCAGCCACAGCCCTGGGCACACAGCGTCGCAGATGACCTCTTACACAGACCCATCTCTGGCTTCAGTCTCCCCACTTGTGGGATGGGCTCACAGGCGCCATATCCACCGGGGGTCGTAGGCGAGGCCTGGCTGTCGGAGGGGCTTGGAGGGAGGCTGATCCATTAGTCAGGAGCTGAACAGGGAGTCAGTTGGGGCAGGAGGGCCCCCTGAGGAAGACCCCAGTGCCGTCCCTAGCAGCCTGGCCTCGCTCCTGCCCGTTCCTCCCTGGCACGCATAGGTCACTGGCACAGGGTGTGTCCCTGAACTTGGGTCTGGAGGGTGCCTCAGAGGCTCTTCAGACTACCGTTGAGGCTTCTCGGGGCGAGGGGGTCCCTGGGTGGGCCCAGAGCTCCTCCCATCCCATGGTCTCCCCCAGAGGGGCCTGGGCCCACTGCAGGCTCAGCAGGGCCTGCTGGGGCCAACCTTGGGGCCTTCTCCAACCCAAAGGTGACGCATCTCCTCCCCGCCCAGTCTGGGCAGCTGCAGTAGAAAGTGGCAGAGCTGCCCGGACTTGCCTGTCCTCCTCCTGGGGCCCTCAACCCACGGCCCGGAAGTGGATCCCTCTCCCACGCTGCAGCCTCCCGCTTCGGGTGACTGGACACGGCTGGATAATCCAAAATAATTCCTTCTTGGCAGGCAGCCGGTGGGGGAGGGGGACTCACATTCCAAACCCTTGTTTTTCTCAGTAACTTCCCTCTACTGGGGCAAGGAACCCCTGGCAAGACCTCAGGCCTCCCAGACACCCCAGACAGAGGTGGGCCCCACAATGGAACCTTGAGAGGACTCAGATGTGCCAGGCCCACCTGCTTGCTCCTCAGTCAGCTCCGCGGATTTCTATGCAACATGTAAAAAGCTGACTCGCCACAAAAAAATGCCCGCTGGCCCTGCCCTCCGGGGGACCCTCACCTCTGGGCAGGAAAGGGAGGGCTCCTCCCACCAGCTGTTCAGCTGTTCCGTGCCAGGGTCATCTGGGCACGGGGCAGGCTGAGAGACCCCAGTTCCTGGCAGCCTCACTCTCCCACCCGCAAAGGGCTCCTGAGGAAGCTCAACTTTAAAGCCTGGCAGGCTGAGCGGAGCCTCCAAGCAAGGGCCAAAGTCAGACATTAAGTGGGGGGCGGGGGGGTCCAGGGAAGGTGGGGCCCAGGGAGCCCTCCAGGCCCCCCGAGACCTGCCGGGTTTGGGGCCCACCCTCACCCCCGTCCTGACTCTGCCACAGCCCACAGTGGGCAGACAGACCCCTTTCTTCCTTTCCCAGGGAGCTTCGGGAAGAGAAATCAAGGGCCTGGCAGGAAGCTCCAGGGCTCCCGGGCTCTGAGACCCCCAGATGACAGCGGGAGGCGGGCTCCCCAGATCTGCCGAATAGCCCGACCAGGGGCGCTGGCAGGACAGGGGCTTCCTGCATGAGCAGGGTGCGGAGGGGCACGGTCAGCAGCGGGGAGGCAGGGCCCGCGCCACCGCTTCTAAGACTTTCTGTGTTTCGGGGTGTCCACCCAGACGCCACCCTGGGAACCGCGAGGAGGCCCGGGCCGTGGGGTCTCGCCAGGTGCGGGTGTTCTCCGCCCTGGTCCCCCCGAGCCAAGCAGGCCCCAGGGGTGCGGGGACGGCCCCCGGGAGCTCGGGCAGAGCCAGGCTCCTGTGCCGCTGAGCCTGGGGCCGGCCCGGAGCGCCCGCACCGCGGGACCATCTCCGCTCGGCGCACGGAGCTCGGCGGCTGAAGAGTGAGAGGCAGGCGCGGAGGAGGGATCCGACGCTGCTCCGGAGGGACGCGCAGCCCCCGCCGGCCGGGCCCGTCCCCCGAGTCCCCACCGGGAAGGGCGTGGGGCGGGAGCGGCCCGGGCCTCGCCGATGGACCGACGGACGGGGCTCAGGCCCCGGGAGCCCTCCGCGGAGCCGCAGCCGCCGCAGGTCCCCGGGCCCGAGCGCGGCAGGCCCGGGCGGAGCGGCGCTGACGGCGAAGCCCCCCGCGCCCAGCGCGACGTCCCCCGCAGCCCAGTCCCCCGAGCTCGGTACCTGCACGTCCGCCGCCAAGGCTCGATGGCGCCCGGGCCGCGCTCGGCGCTGCGCTCTGGCCCGCGCTGCTGCCATGGAGACGGGGCCTTTGTGTGGCCGAGGAGGGGCCGGAGCGCGCGGGAGCTGCCGGCCCCGCCCCCGACGAGAGAGAGGAGGGGAGGGCGGGGAGAACAGGAGAACGGGGGAGAGGGAGAGGAAAGCGGAGGGGGAGAGGGAGGGAGGGAGGAGGGGGAGGGGAGGGAGGAGGAGGAGTGGGAGAGGGGGGAGGAGGGGAGGGGAGAGGGAGGGGGAGGGGGTGGGAGGGGGAGGGGAGGGGGATGGGAGGGGGAGGGGGAGGGGAAGGGGAGGGGAGGAGGAAACGAGGGGAGGGGGAGGGGAGGGCAGAAGAGAACGGGAGGGGAGGGCACGGGAAAGGGAAAGGAGAACGGGAGGGGAGGGAACAGAGAGAGATGGGAAGGGAAGGGAGAATGGGACGGGAGGGGAGGGGCTGGGCCTGCGCCCCCTGTGCTGCCCCCATGTCTCCCCTGCCCCAGCAGCCACAGCATCGTTGGGTAGGTTTGGGCACCCCAGTTCAGACCCAGGTTCAGCCAGGGCAGCACCCTGCCCACCATGCCGCCGTCCAGGAAGGTCGAGTGCCCACAGAGGCCCCTTGGCCAGAGCACCCCCACAGGAACCCCACAGGTTTGAGGGGAGCCCAGGGCTTGGCGCTAGGGGAGGGCATTACGGGCGCACTTTTGCCTGGCCAGAGGAACAAGGGTCCCTGCCAGTCTTGAGATGGGTGGGCACCAGACCCTCGCCCCCAGACCAGGAGCAGACCAGTCGCTCCCCGGCAGGTTTCAGGGGTGGGGGCTGCTGGGCTTTGGCCCTTTCCCAGGGGTCTCAGGCCCTCAACTTCCCAGGGTAAACCGGGCACCTGAGGATGGCCTCCCAGCACATCCCTGGCTTCCAGCAGCACCTCGGGACGCTGCACCTGGGACCCCACATTGATCCTTCAGGGCCTGGAGGTGGGTGGCACGAGACCTCTTTCTGGGGTTATGGTTTCTGGGACAGAGCTGGCCCCACTTCTGGCATCCCAGGCCTCAAGTCCCAGCCCCAGTGCTCCTGGGGTCCGCTGCGCTTGAGAAAAGGTGGAGAACCCTCTGCAGGGCCAGACCTTGGAGCATGCCTCCACTGCCCTCCCAGGACTGGATGTGCTAAGCAGGAGACGGAAGCATTCCCCAAGCCCTCACCCTCGCCCCCACCCTGGGTCACCCCTCCCTGGGGCCGGCCTTCCACCCAGACCTGCCCCGTCCTTGCAGCTGGTCGGCTTCCTCCTGTCCCCAGCCAGGCATCCCCTCCTCCCCTGCTTCCCCCACTTGGGATCTGCCCTGCCACATCCTGACAAACTCTCCCAGCCTTAGTTCTTTCGATCTCTGCCTTCTCTCACCCTCAAGCAGCCAGGCCTTGTTCCTGCCCAAATCTTCCCTTGGGCCTTGAACCACAATCCACATTGCGGCCACCCTCCCCTTCACTGCAGAGGACCCCAAAATTACCAGGGTCTGACAAGGTTGCCAACATTTTATCAAAAAAGGAAAAGACAAGCCCTGTGTCACAAAAGGACATTTTAATACCAAAGCCGTGGGAAGGCCTCTGTTCTAGACCAAAAGGGAGTCTTTAAATAGCCAGCAGGAAGCTTGAGGCTGAGCAGCTGTCCTTCCTGTCCCTGAGCACGCCCTGTGTGCATCCTCAGCCCCCAGCCCCACTCCAGACCTGCTCCCAGCTCTCTCCACCCTCTGGGTTCTGTGGTCCCTGTCCTTCAGGAGGCCTGTAACCACAGCAGTCCTCACCCTTGCCAACAGTTCTGCCCAGCAAGCCCTCTTGCCTGCGGGGGCTGGCACTGTGGCCAGGGGTAGAGCTTTCTGGGCCTTCCTGTCTCTTCACTGCCTGCCCCTGGCCTGGTGTGCGTGGGGAGGGGAGGGCCATGGCCCAGCCCTGGACAGAGGCTCAGCCAACTCAGAGCGGCCTTGACACTGGGGGGCCACAAGAGGCATCGGGACAGATGGAGCTGGCAGATCTCCATGCCCAGCCCTCACCCATTCACCCCAGGCCACATTCCACCCCAGGCCTCTTCTGCATAGGTGGGGACAGGCCCTGAGGAAGAGGGGCTGGGACACTACCCTCCACCTTAGCCTTGGCTTCTGCCCAGGGCAATGCTGGCCGCCTGGCCCAGTGCCCCCCACCAAGTCTCCCACCCGCCCACCTATGTGGCCTTACCAGAGCCCTCCAGGGAAATCTGCTTGTGCGTTTCTGGACAGACAGTGGCCAGGGTCCCTGGGGGGTTCGGAGACTAGCCTGAAGCTCCTCCCTGCAGCCCTGTGGGTCTGCAGCCCTCTGTGCTGTGGGGCAGCCCTCAGAAAGCCATGAGGTGAGACTGTGGTGTGGGGAAGCACATGCCACCGTGGTCCTTGGGGTGCACTCCCCAAAGGGGGGCCACAGTTGTGAGAGGGGCGGATTGTCTTCCCAAGCTTCCTCGACACCTTGAAGTGGTGGTACTCAGGGGACGGGCCACCAGCACAAGGCTTTTGCAGAGGGCCCTGGTGGAGGGCAGCTGATGGCAGGGCCTATACTGGCCCCCAGGCCCCATCTTACGGAGGTCAGTGTTCAAGCTGGTCACACAGGAGGTGCCAGCATCTCTGCAGACCCTCTAGAGACCAAGCCCTCAGTAGGGAGGCTGGTCCCCCCATGCTACAGTTGGGAGGCCCAAGCAGAATTTGAGGCCGGGACCTTTCTCACCCTCAGGTCCCCGGCTTGCCCCGCCACAGAACAGGTTTGCCGCCTCAGCCTCTACGTGTTCTGTTTAACGTGGTCACGTCCTTGGACCCTGCACCAGACATCTGGGCTCGACAGCTCCCCTTTGTCACCCTCCCGGCTGCCTCTGTGTCCTTGTCTGTAGAATGGTGACAGGGACAGGCTGTCCTAGGCGCAGTCTGGCTGGACAAGTTGACATGTACCAAGTTCTGAGAACTACCTGTCGTCCAGACACCTGACCCCGCTGTCCTCGTGGCTCGGTCACGCCCTGCACTGAAGTGGCTGGCAGTGCTCACTCTACACCGCCTGGCTGGAGGATGTGGTCCGAGACCACCAATGAGAACACAAACAGTACATTGCGCACGCGTGCTGAACGAAGGCTACCTTCTACAGACTGAATGGGGGCCTCAGAAGAAAAAGAAAAGTCCTTCCCCCAGCCCTGTGTCCCCTGGCCAGCACCTGCCCGGCTTCGCAGGGTACAAAGCCCATTCTCCATGAGTGACCCTCCCAGCACCATGTCGGGCATCTGCACTGCTGGGTCGCTCAGGCAAGGAGTCTGAGGGTCTGAGTGGTCAGGGGACCTATTCCTGGGCACACAGTGTGTGATGCTGAGCGGGGCTTGGCTGTCCGGAGCCCTGACAGTACCGTCACCGTGTGCTGCGCAGTGCCAACACCGTACCCATGGGCCTCAGTGCCTGCAGGTGTCACAGGGGGAGCACATGACCCAGAGGTGGCTCTTAGGGATCTTCACCCCTTACCAAGGAAAGGGAGACATGCAGGCTTCAGCCAAAGGCAGGGTCAAGCCGAAGTCCAGAGCCCCTTGGGCTGCATGTGGGGCATGGACGGACACACTTGGACGACAGGAGCCTTGTCCACCTCCCAGGAGGGACATATGGAGCTGGCGCATGGTGGGGGCTCCAGGACTGGGAACCAGGAAGGTGCTGTGGACCCTCTGAGGGCCAGGCTGAGCCAGCTCTCCTAGCAGAGGTGCTGGGCCCCACACCGCCCCCTGCCCAACCCCTACCTCCCAACAAACCACAGCCCCAAGCAGGTGGGGGCCCAGAGGGGCATCAGGGGTGGTGGGCAGAGCTCTTCACACTGCAAAGCAGTCTCTCTCCTTCTCAAGTTGATGACGGTGTGCAAAACAGCCTCCCATCCCCAGATAAGACGAATCGGTGGCTGGTCAGGAGAGGGTCCCTCCTGTCCTGGGCAGCCTGTTGGGCTGAAGGAACCACCACACACAGTGCAGGGGGCTTGGGGGCCAACAGATGGGCACCGGGAGGGGCAGACGGTAGACGCACCCACATCAGCGAGGGCTCCCAGCCTGTCCCCGCCCCAGTCCCAGCCTAAGGTCTGTGGAGGCCAGGTGGGGCCCAGGAGGAGGCAAGGCTCCGCCTGCACGGAATCCCTACGGTCAGGGCCATGCTGTGGTTCCAAATGTCGCCTTTACTGCTGAGACAATGGAGGAGCCTGCAGTCTGGGCGGGGGGCCAAGGAAGGGGAGCGTGTGCTTGGCCCAGTGCCGCCGCCACTGGGGAGCAGGAGGCTCAGGCAGACCTAGGACCCTGGGACCGTGGCCCTTGGCTCTGTCCTAGGGAGGGCACAGGACGGCCTGCAGGTCTTTGGGCAGGGAGCCGATGACCGTCTCGATGTACAGCTGGGCCCGCTGCAGCGTTGCCTCCTTCACAGGGAGCTGGTGGCCCTGAGCCCGCACCTGCAGGGGCAGCTGTGGTCAGGGCAGGCGCAGCTCCGTGCCAGGCTAGTGGTGCTGGGACAAGGCTGGGAGGCATCTTACCAGCTTCTCACGAAGTTTCAGGACCAGGTCCACGACCTCCACCTCGGACTTGTCTTTCATCCAGGTCTCAATGTTCTGCAGGGTAAGATGGGGTCTGCTGTCAGCAAGGCCCCCCACTGCCCTGGGCCTGTGCCCACCCCCACCATGTTCTGGCCCTCCCCAACCCCCAGCCTCCCTCACCGCCTCACAAATAGCCTCCAGGTGCAGGGCCTCCAGCTTCAGGGCCATCTCCTTGTGCCGTTGCCGGTACCAGCCGTCAAAATGGGGGGACTTGAAAAACCGCCTGTGGGGATTGACAGGCAGGGCCCCGGGGCTGACCCTGGGGACGGACAGGCAGGGCCACAGGGCTGACCCTGGGGACAGACAGGCAGGGCCGCGGGGCTGAGCCTGGAGACGGACAGGCAGGGCCACAGGGCTGACCCTGGGGACGGGCAGGCAGGGCCGCGGGGCTGACCCTGGGGACCAAGGAAGGCTGAGGCTGCACCCGCAGTCCACCCACCTGTAGAGACCCAGCCAGTCGCCCTTGAGGATGCAGGTGAGCTGGGGCCCGGCATGCTCCAGGCTACGCAGGAAGTCCTCCTGGCTGAAGGGCCGGATCTGGGGGGGAGTCTGATTGGGGGTGGGTGAGCCAGCATGTGGGAACTCGGCCTCACAGGCCTGCACCCGGTACGCTGCCCAGACACGCTCCTCACCACTTCTGAATACCCCCAGCCCCCACCCTGCCTGGCACAGATCCCAGGATAGCCCTTCCCAGGGCGCAGACCCTGAGCCCCTCCAAGGGTCCCGCCAGCCACCTGCCCTGTGGCCCTCAGTTTCACAACATGATGGCCTTGAGCCCTGTGTCTCCTACACAGCCATGGCCTCCTGCTCCAGACCTTCCCTTCTCCGGGTGAGGAAGGGAACCCGCCCTCCATGGACCCCACAGGACCCCCACCTTCCAGGGCGTGATGCTCTTCTGCAGGGGCATGAGGCTGGCCATGTAGTGCTCCTGGGTGGGGAAGGGAGGGGAGTGAGCCCGGGGACCCATTCCCCCCAGCCCCGTGCCCCCGAGTCCCGTCCTCCCCTGTCCCATCTCCCCCAGCTCCGTTCCCCTCCAGCCCCTTCCCCCCCAGCCCCGTGCCTCACCAGAGGGATGATGAAGCTCTGGGTGAGCTCCAGGAGGTGCCGCCGCAGCAGGGCGCTCTGCACATCTGATGGCCGCTTCTTCTGCACGCCCTGCAGGGAAGGGGGGCCAGGCCCTTGCTGCACCTCACACCACCCCAGACTCCCTGCGTCCCCAGCCCCCTCCCGCCACAGCCCATACCTTGAGCAGCCGTTTAAGCAGCGCCTTGTCGCGGTGGAGGTGGGCTGTGTACGCGGTGTAGAGGCCTGGCGGGAGGGCACAGCTGGCGCCCCGCCCTTCAAGGGCCCCCCTCCCACACTCCTGCAGCCCCACAGAGGAGCCAGGGTGGGGGTCTCATCTGCCTGCAGCCCCATGCCCTTGGCTGCACCTGAAAATCTCACCCACCCCACCCCAGACACAGGGACCCACTGAAGAAGACAAGAAGGCGCCCCCTCCCCGAGGGTCCGAGGGTCCGAGCTCTGCTGCTGAGTCCTGGGAGAGGAGCAGGGGTCGGGGGGCCGGACTGAGGGGTCCGGGCTCTGCTGCTGAGTCCTGGGAGAGGAGCAGGGGTCGGGGGGCCGGGCTGAGGGGTCCGGGCTCTGCTGCTGAGTCCTGGGAGAGGAGCAGGGGTCGGGGGGCCGGGCTGAGGGGTCCGGGCTCTGCTGCTGAGTCCTGGGAGAGGAGCAGGGGTCGGGGGGCGGGCTGAGGGGTCCGGGCTCTGCTGCTGAGTCCTGGGAGAGGAGCAGGGGTCGGGGGGCCGGGCTGAGGGGTCCGGCTCTGCTGCTGAGTCCTGGGAGAGGAGCAGGGGTCGGGGGCCGGGCTGAGGGGTCCGGGCTCTGCTGCTGAGTCCTGGGAGAGGAGCAGGGGTCGGGGGGCCGGGCTGAGGGGTCCGGGCTCTGCTGCTGAGTCCTGGGAGAGGAGCAGGGGTCGGGGGGCCGGGCTGAGGGGGTCCGGGCTCTGCTGCTGAGTCCTGGGAGAGGAGCAGGGGTCGGGGGGCCGGGCTGAGGGGTCTGGGCTCTGCTGTTGGGTCCTGGGAGAGGAGCAGGGGTCGGGGGACCGGGCTGAGGGGTCTGGGCTCTGCTGCTGAGTCCTGGGAGAGGAGCAGGGGTCGGGAGGCTGGGCTGCCCCACCCGGGAGACCCACCAGGTACAAGACAGGCCCCTCCACCGTGGAGGGGCTCCAGGTCGAGGGGAACACAGACCTGGCTTAGTGTCCAGGGTCTTCAACCTTGAAGGCTTTTTCAGCTTGACTTGCTTAGGAAGGTCTCCTACGAGACATGCCCGGTGGCCAGGCCTCAGTGCCCGCAGCTCTGGCCATGGGCTCTGAGGCAGCCCCACACTCAATGAGGCTTCTGAGCATCACCCCCTGCACCTCCCCGGGAGCCTGACCTGACATCTTGGGCTCCCCGACTCGGAGGATGTGGGGCCAGTGCTGGAGTGTTTTGATAAAGAAAGGGTTTGTGACTCCCAGGACCACGTTTGGTCTAGACAGAGAGAGAGAGAAGAGGCAGAGACAGAGGTCCAGGGAGGTGCAGCAAGGACGAGAGAGGTGGGGCGGAGGCGGCACTTACGGGGCCTGCGTGCGTGTGGTGAACTCCTTGAACTCGCTGTCATGGATGGTGAAGTAGGGACGGAAGTCGCAGCAGAACCTGAGGGGCTGCAGGCAGCTGTGGGCAGGAGCACAGGAAGCAGGTGAGGCACAGCCGCGATGGTCCAGTGACCCCAGCCAGGACCGAGCCAAGGTGGTACCTGGTCAAGGCCAGCACCATCTCTGAGGACACGTCGGGCGAGGGTGCCAGGACCAGCAGGGGCTCCCCAAGGAGCACAAGCTCCCACAGTGTCTGCACGTGAGTCAGCACGGGCCGGAAGCACCTGGGGCCGGGCAGGAAGGTCGGGGAGGTCAGGAAGGGGCTGAGACTCCTGGCCCTGGCCCTGCTCTCCCACGTGTTCACCCAGGTGCCGGTGAACACGGCACGCTGCGCCAGATGAGGACAGATCTGTCTGAAGATGTGAGTGTCTCGGGTTATCATGGCCACCCCGAGCTCCGACAGTCCACCTGTGCTGGGCCTGGGAATGGGGGACTCAACCTGGACCCACCTATGAGGGACCAGCTGTCCTAAAGTGGCCCCAGGGCCGGGGCAGGGGCTGCTGACCTGGGATGGGGGGTACCCGCCCGGACCCCTCTGGTCTCCCTGTGCCCATCCCAAGTGCAGCCCTGGCTCCTGTTGGGCCCTCCACAGAGCAGGATGGTCTCAAAGCCCAGCCTCCCTTGCAGACTCGCCCAGAGGCAGTGAAGGCAGACTCAGGCATCCGCTCCTAACAGCCTCTCCTGACACTGCCTTTCAGGACCTCCTGCCCACCGTGCCCATCTCCGCTGGCTGCAGCCACGTGGCACGTGCTTCCTCTTCTACACAGTTCTCCCTTCTTCCTTCCAGAACTGTCCCAAGGGTTACTCAGGATGAGCGCTGCCTCCCTTGGGCAGTCCCCACATGGCGCTGGCCATACACACACACACGTGCACTCACACACACACGCACACACGTACCTGCACGTGCACAGAGTGAGCTCCCCCAAAGCAGCATGCAGAACCCTAGGGGACTCACCTGAACAGGTCCAGCTCGTGGACGCTAGCAAGAACCATTGGGGCTGGCAGCAGGTTCTGAGAGGAGGGGAGTGTAGGTCAGGGCCAAGGGGGGCTGGCACCCCTTGGGCCCCAAGCAGCCCCTGCCTCACAGCGCAGGGGAGGGTGGAGAGCGCCCAGCCCTACACCAAGGCACAGGCTGTGGCTTTGCCTGGGTTTGACCACCCCGCAGGGTGGACCAGGGAGGCAGGTGTGGGACCACCCAGCCCAGGAGCAGGACTCAATCGGGTGAAGCCCTCTCAGCTCCGCCTCCACCTCAGCTCCCACCTCTTGATCACACTGCTTCGGAGGACTGGACTCGGACTTGTCCACCCTGGATGGGATGCGCACCTGGGAGAAGGAGGGAGCAGCTGCCAGAGGGAGTAAGGCCTCCCCACACACCTGCAGAGCCTGCTCCCCAGCCAGCTGACTCTCACCTGGACAACAACGCCCATGACAGGTAGGTTCAGGGTCTGCCCAGGTGCAGGCGCCGGCCACTGGTCGATCTCACTGCACACTGCGGATGCAGTAGCCGGCGTCAGGACCCTCCCCAAGGAAAAGCTGTTGTCAGGCCCACCAGGGGCCACAGCTGGGATGATGAGACCGCGATGGCCATACCTGATGGCCACTCACCTGCTTCCAGGCAGGGCGCCAGCTTGTCAAAGTACTCAGGGGCAATGAGGCTTAGCAGCGCCTGGAACAGCCGGACAAAGGGCAGGCGGGACACCAGCACCAAAGACTGCGGGGCCACGGGGCCAGTTAGAGGCCCCCAGCTCCAGGCCTCACTCACCCCAGCCACTCAGGAGCCCACGGGGACCCCTGAAGCCACGCTCACCTGGAGCTGGCCCAGGGTAGCATGTCCCACCAGCTCCGCAAGACAGCTGCCCCGGGAACGGCCTGACTCAGACCCCAGAATTATCAGACAGGAGAAAACCCAACCCTGAACTCCCCGGGTGGCGGCTGGGGCAGCTGGACCCTAGGGCCTCCGGAGGGAAACGCATGGTGGCCAGAATTTCTGGAATGATCTCCCCAGGGGCTGAGCAGCTTTTACTCTTGGCCTATGGCTTCCAGGCTGGGTTGTCCTGACCCTGACATGACCCTCCAGCCATCAGTGAGGGGCAGAAATGTCCTGGACCGGGACATAAGGGCCTCGGGTGCCACGCCAGGCAAGGACAGGGCAGAGGGGGCTGCAAGGAGAGCTGGACACAGCCCAGGTGGGGCTGCAGGAGGGGTGGGCACTGCTGGAGGCTCAGGACCCCTTGCCCGCCCCACAGTCCCTCCTGCTGCCTGCCAGCTCCTGCCTCTCTGAGGCGCCAGCCCAGAGTGACCAGGCAGCGCACCTTCTGGAAGTAGCCCCTCTTCACGGAGCGGTCCTTCACCTGTCTGAAGTACACGTAGCCAAAGTAGTGCGCCGGCTCCCTCTGGAAGGAGCAAGGGTTAGCCAGGCCATGCCCCACCCAGACCACCTGGCCAGCCCCAGGGCTGGGAGTGGCAAGAAGCATGCAGGGATGGCAGCAGATGGGAGCCTGGAGAACCAGAAGGCTCCTGGAGCTTCTGTCCCTGCCCTCTGGCCACCAAGGCGGAGGCCAGGAGGTCCTGGGCTCAGAAGGTGGGTAACAGCCCTGCTGATACAGTAGGGAGTCTGCTGGTGTAGGGGAGAGGGGTTCAGGGTGCTGGGGGCCCTGGGAGGTTCACGTGGGCCCCTGTTCAACTATGCAGATGCCCAGTCACGGATGTGTGGTGCCAAGGGAAAGCCCCAGGGACCCTGGGGAGACCCCGGAAGAGCTGGCCCATCCTCAGTTGGGACTGGTGCCTGGGACTGCAGGGTCAGCGGGGCATGGCCAGCTCCTCTCCTGCCACACAGTGCCCAGGCACTCCGAAGGGGCTTCTCCCACCAGCCTGACCCTGGCAGGACCCGTGGGGAGCAGGGGAAGAGAAGCAGGCCAGAAACGCAGCCCAGTGCTCACCTGCAGTGCCACGGGGGCCCTGCTGTTGTAGTGCCTATCGTCGGCATGCCAGGGGCTCCTCTGCCCTCCACACTGGCGCATGCGGAAGCTGAACTGAGTGTCTCCAAGGCAGCCTGAGAAGGGGGCAGCCCACCACACGTCAGGGCCGGGAGCTGGGGACCGGGGAGCAAGGGCCCTGCGAGCCTGGCCTCTGCTATTAGCCAGAAACCAGCCTGGCCAACACAGTGAAACCCTGTCTCTACTAAAAAGACAAGAAGTAGCCAGGCATGGTGGCACACGCCTGTAATTCCAGCTACTTGGGAGGCTGAGGCGGGAGAATCACTTGAACACGGGAGGTGCAGGTTGCAGTGAGCTGAGACTGCGCCACTGCACTCTAGTCTGGGTGACAGAGTCAGACTCCATCTCAAAAATAAAAAAAAAAAGCCTCAGAAAGAATGCCCAGCTGAAGGGGCCTGTGTTTCCCAGTGGGCTCCTATTCTGACTCCTGCACACCCTGCACCTACAGGCCTTAGTATATGTTCGCACAGAAACGCACCTTCAGCCTATCTGGGAGATTGGCTCAACATGCTTGAGACAGAAACCAGGCACTAGAAAATGGTTACCCAGATGTCTATGCCCCAAGGCAGGAGCGAGAGGGAGGCCCAGCCCCTTGTGGCCACTGTGTGGGGTGTAGGAGACTGTTGGTCTCTGCAGAGAGACACCCTTTCCACGTGCATCTGGGGACCTGCCTGACCTGCTGCAACGCGGAGATCTGGGTGCCTCCACTGAGTGGGCATGGGGCTGGTGCTGCCCACCCCCTGTGGCACTCTGCACATGGGCAGCCTAGGCAGCCGTGATGCCCCTGGCCTGGGCTACAGGGACGCCCAGCTGGCTTCATGTCCAGCCCCAGTAAAGATGGGGTCACCTACCTGAGTGTGAGTCAGGAAAAGACAAGTAGCAGATGCTGCTTTTCTGAAACATACAAAACCCGGTGAGGGCCGACCCACTCCTGGGTCCCGTCCATTCCCAAGAGGGCCAGGACTCACCTCCTTGTCTGTGAGCCGGAAGTCATTTGGATACACCAGCTGCAGAGGAAGACAGAGCGCCTTGTGACGCCATCTGCCCAAGGAGGCAACACCCCTTGATGGCATCCACTGGACTGGGACCGCCCCAGCAGCTGCAGCATCTGTCTCTGGGGCGCAGGTCAGTGCCACGGTGCTGGCTCGCCCCCGGCTCCCTGCTCCAACAGCGTGCTGCGTCCTCCCCACACCATCTTCTCTGGCTACTGTGCCCAGCTCCTTGCTGACCCGCTCCTCTCTCTGACCTCCAGGCACCAGGCCCCAGGCAACTAACTCCCCTGCCAGCCGGAGGCTTCTCTACTCTCACCTCCCCAGGTCCCTCTCAGTAAGAGGCCAGCACAACGGGGTGGGCTTCCTGACCCCTTTCTCACACCCCTGGTCCTCACAGCCACTCAACCACCTCTTGCCCAGACTGTAGTTGGGCCCCCCTGCCCCTACACACCCAGACATCAGTTCACAGCATCAGACATCAGAAGGGTAGTGCTTCAGGGATCCAGAGGCCCCTCACCCGGGACGGTCACAGGGCCCTACCTGGCTGGTCCTCCATCTCCATCACCACCTGCCAAACCAGAGGGCCCCGGACATGCTGCTCCCCGAGCTTTTGCTCAGATGCAGGCCCGGAAGCACCCCTGCTCCATGATGGCAGCCTGCTGTCAGGCCCTCTCCCCATTGTGCTCAGTAGTCTTCACCCAGCCTCCCCCTGCCAGGGCCTGTGCCCCACCTGCAGTGCCCAGTGAGTGCCCAGCCGGACAAGCCCTGCACCCCCAGGAGTGGACAGTGGGGGAGAGCATGACACTAAGCAGGCGCTGAATGACCTGGAAGACAGGTGTGCACTGACAGAGGCAGCAGGTGGGGCAGGTGACCCTTGGAGCCCAGCCCAGCAGGTCCATGCACACGTGGACCACTTTCCGTCTAGGGACCTCCCAGGGCCCCCATTCCCAGTGGACCCTGCAGTGTCTCCTGGGCTGTCTGAAGCCTGCTGGGAGGGCCTCTGTACACTGTCCCCTCCTCATCCCATCTGCCCAACTTCTCCACTGAGTTGAATTTAGGCTATAATAAGGCTTCTTCCAAGATGTGCCCTGAGCCCCCAAACAGTGAGGAGCCAGGCCCTGGATGAAAGCATCTGCCAATTTTTTTTTTTTTTTTTGAGACGGAGTCTCGCTCTGCCGCCCAGGCTGGAGTGCAGTGGCGCAATCTCGCTCACTGCAGCTCTGCCCCGGTTCACGCCATTCTCCTGCCTCAGCCTCCGAGTAGCTGGGACTACAGGCGCCCGCCCTGCGCCGCTAATTTTTTTTTTTTTTTTTTTTTTTTTTTTGAGACGGAGTCTCGCTCTGTCGCCCAGGCTGGAGTGCAGTGGCGCGATCTCGGCTCACTGCAAGCTCCGCCTCCCGGGTTCACGCCATTCTCCTGCCTCAGCCTCCCGAGTAGCTGGGACTACAGGCGCCCACAACCGCGCCCGGCTAATTTTTTCTATTTTTAGTAGAGACGGGGTTTCACCGTGGTCTCGATCTCCTGACCTTGTGATCCGCCCACCTCGGCCTCCCAAAGTGCTGGGATTACAGGCGTGAGCCACCGCGCCCGGCCAGCATCTGCCATTTTTTTTTGAGAGACGGGGTCTCGCTCCGTCACCCAGGCTGGAGCGCAGCGGCGCAATCACAGCTCACTGCAGCCTTGAACTTCTAGGCTCAAGCAATCCTCCCACCTGAGCCTCCTGAAGTGCTGGGAGTACAGGCGTGAGCCACCGCGCCCGGCCAGCATCTGCCATTTTTTTTTGAGAGACGGGGTCTCGCTCCGTCACCCAGGCTGGAGCGCAGCGGCGCAATCACAGCTCACTGCAGCCTTGAACTTCTAGGCTCAAGCAATCCTCCCACCTGAGCCTCCTGAAGTGCTGGGAGTACAGGCGTGAGCCACTGTGCCCCGCTTGCTCTGTGAAAATAGCTCTGCTTTTGTTTGCTCTGGGCTTGCTACTGTGGTCGGTCCTGCTTTGTCTCTTCCAACGCAGAGCAAATCTCTTTAAGGCAGGGACCCTGTCCTGGTTACTTCTGCCTCCCAACACCTGGCACAGAACAGACCCTCCCCAAATACAGTGTTTGTGGCATATGTGATGAGGTCTCTGAGGTCTACTAGGACAGGTGGGTGGAGGGGAGCTAAACAGGCACCAAGGAATGGTCAGGAGGAAGACGAAGGAGGAAGCTGGGAGTAGGCTGGACCCACAGGGGCGCCTCAGGATAGCTCCGTGAGGGGCTGGGGATATAGGGCCACTCAGTCTGAGCCTTCATGTGTCCGCACTGAGGAGGGCTGAGGAAAGGCAGGTACCCTCTGCCTCAGGTCAGGACTCTGTACCTGGTCTGCTGGTCACGGGGGCCTGTGGCCTCTGAGCTCCGTGCCCATGCCCGGGGGCCCTCAGCATGTCTGACCAGGGAAACCCACATTCTCAGGCTCATCATCTTTGGGAGTAGCCCTGGGGCCCAGTTACAGCCTGAAGCTGAGTACTGAGCCAGGGGTCAGGCTACCTGGGGTTGGGCATGCCAAGGTGAAGGGACACCTGGAGCTGATCCTGAGGGCATGCAGGCCTCCCAGGCCAGGCTGTGCCCTGCTCGGGCTTCCGCAAGGGTCTCGCCCTTTTCACCTGAGGCAGCCTGCACCGGTCTCTGCTCCTGGTGAGCAGTCACTGAGGAAGACTGCGGGTGGGAGCTTGGCTTAGAGAAGGCACATCCAGGGAGCAGTTCTGAAGGTATGGCCTGGCCACCCTCGGGATCCCCGGGGTCAAAGCTGTTCTCCTATGCGAGAGCCTCCTTGTCTCTCATCTTCACCCTCATGTACAGCATGGCTCCTGGAAGCCAGTGTGTCCTGTCCTGGTGGGCTGAATGCAGCGCTGATGAGAATCCATCTGTTTTCTATTTGGTTGGACTTTTTTTTTTTTTTTTTTGAGACGGAGTCTTGCTCTGTCACCAGTCTGGAGTGTAATGATGTGATCTCCGCTCACTGCAAGCTCCACTTTCCGGGTTCAAGCGATTCTCCTGCCTCAACCTCCTGAGTAGCTGGGACTACAGGCTCCTGCCACCATGCCCGGCTTTTTTTTTTTTTTTTTTTTTTTGTATTTTTAGTAGAGACGGGGTTTCACTGTGTTAGCTAGGATGGTCTCGATATCCTGACCTCGTGATCCGCCCGCCTCGGCCTCCCAGAGTGCTGGGATTACAGGTGTGAGCCACTGCACCCGGCTTGTTTTTTGTTTTTTAACAGACAGGCTCAACCTCCAACTCCTGGACTCAAGCAGTTCTCCCACCTCAGCCTCCTGAGTAGCTGAGACGACAGGTGTGTGCCACCATGCCTGGCTCTTTTACCATGCCTGGCTCTTTTTTCTTTTTTTTTTTTTTTTTTTTTTTTTTGAGACGGAGTCTCGCTCTGTAGCCCAGGCTGGAGTGCAGTGGCCGGATCTCAGCTCACTGCAAGCTCCGCCTCCCGGGTTCACGCCATTCTCCGGCCTCAGCCTCCAGAGTAGCTGGGACTACAGGCGCCCGCCACCTCGCCCGGCTAGTTTTTTGTATTTCTTAGTAGAGACGGGGTTTCACCGTGTTAGCCAGGATGGTCTCGATCTCCTGACCTCGTGATCCGCCCGTCTCGGCCTCCCAAAGTGCTGGGATTACAGGCTTGAGCCACCGCGCCTGGCCGTTTTTTGTATTTTTTAGTAGAGACGGGGTTTCACCGTGTTAGCCAGGATGGTCTCGATCTCCTGACCTCGTGATCCGCCCGTCTCGGCCTCCCAAAGTGCTGGGATTACAGGCTTGATTTTTTTTTTTTTTTTTTTTGAGAGCCGCGCTCCAGTTCCGTCACCCAGGCTGGAGTGCAGTGGCACGATCTCATCTCACTACAACTTCCACCTCCCGGGTTCAAGCAATTCTCCTAATTCAGCCTCCAGAGTAGCTGGGATTACAGGCATACAATGCCCGGCTAATCTTTTGTATTTTTAGTAGAGATGGGGTTTCACCATGTTGCCCAGGCTGGTCTCAAACTTCTGAGCTCACACGATCCCCCTGCCTCAGCCTCCTAAAGTGCTAAGATTACAGGCGTGAGCCACCACACCTGGCCTCATTTTGTATTTTTTTGTAGAGATGTGGGTCTTGCTATATTGACCAGGCTGGTCTAGAACTCCTGGCCTTAAGTGCTCCTCCCACCTTGGGCTTCCAAAGTGCTAGGATTACAGGCATAAGCCAGCAAGCCTAGCCTCTTTTTTTTCTTTTAATTTTGTTTTGAGACAGGTTCTCATAACCCAGGCTGGAGTGCAGTGATCATGGCTCACCACAGCCTTGAATTCCTGGGCTCAAGCAATCCTACAGCCTGAGCCTCCTGAGTAGCTGTAACTACAGGTGCACGCCACCACACCTGGCTAATTTATTTTTATTTTTGGTAGAGACAGGGTCTCACTATGTTTCCTAGGCTAGTCTGGAACACCTGGCCTCAAGTGATCCTCCCACCTCGGCCTCTGAAAGTACTGGGATTATAGGCAGGAACCACTGTGCCCGGCCCAAGAGGTGAGTTTTCAAAAGCTGAGAAGGCGGAGCCAGGCCCTTTCCTAAGCTGACCTGTACACTCCAGTCACTCCACAGTCCTGCCCAGCCCCTCTCAAGCCAGACCCCTTGTCACCCCACAGCCCTGCTGACCCCTCTCAAGCTGGACGCCTCATCTCACAAGCAGGCTGCACTGCACTCATTTCCACGGTGCCCCCATGTGTACAGTTGCGAGGGTATCCTGTGAGCACTATGGACCCTGAACCACTTACTCTCCATATCACTGGCATATAGTGTGAACTCCTAGAGGGCTAGAGCCTTGTCTTCTCATGTGCTGGGCACCAGTATTGTGGGGCTGGGCTGGTGATAGCTGCTTAATGTGATTTACGGTTTTTTGTTTTGTTTTGTTTTTGTGAGATGGAGTTTTGCTCTTGTTGCCCAGGCTGGAGTGCAATGGTGCAATCTCAGCTCACCGCAACCTCTGTCTCCTGGGTTCAAGCAATTCTCCTGCCTCAGTTTCCTGAGTAGCTGGGATTACAGGCATGAGCCAACATGCCCGGCTAATTTTGCATTTTTAGTAGAAACAGGGTTTCTCCATGTTGGTCAGGCTGGTCTTAAACTCCTGAACGCAGGTGATCCGCCCACCTCGGCCTCCCAAAGTTCTGGGATTACAGGCGTGAGCCACTGCACTTGGCCTTCAAAGTGATTTACTGAATGAGTAACTGAATCACCAGCTCTTTGCCTTTTGCTTATGTTGCCATTTTGGGAGAGGGGTTACCTGAAACAGGACCCCCTCCCCTGTCTCTTCTCGGCGTCCAAGACTTATTTACCTAAGCCCATTCCATCCTCTGAGCTGCATGCATCCCAACTAGGGTCTTCCTTCCACATCGCAGAACCAAGCACAGCCCTGGGACTTTGCAGTGCTTAGCTGGGCTGAGCTGTGACTGAGTGCACAGTGGGTGCTCCCTAAAAGTCTGTAAGTGACTAAAACGACCTCAATCTTCCCTGTGACTTCCACGGGAGGGAGGAAAAGCAAGAGTCATGTGCTCAGGCCCCATTGGATCCACTGCCAGGTTTCTGCACAGACCCAGTGATCTGTAGGTGTCCATGTCACTGCTATGGAGGCTTCGGACATGGACCTGGGTCCCCAGCACTCTGCCAGCTGACCATGCCCCCAGTCCGAGCTGGGTATCCCAAGCACACACAACCTTCAACAGCTCAGAAGTAACTTTTCAAATGGGGTTTAGAAAATAACACGAGAATGCCTTAAGGAACAGAGGAACTTCTTAACTTTTTTTTTTTTGAGATGGAGTCTCAGTTTGTCACCCAGACTGGAGTGTGGTGGTGTGATCTCAGCTCACTGCAACCTCCCCGTCCTGGGTTCAAGCGATTCTCCTGCCTCAGCCTCCCGAGTAGCTGGGACTACAGGAGCCTGCCACCACGCCCGGCTAATTTTTGTATTTTTAGTGGAGATGCGGTTTCACTGTGTTGGCCAGGATGGTCTCAAACTCCTGACCTTGTGATTCGCCTGCCTCAGCCCCTCAAAGTGCTGGGATTACAGGCATGAGTCACCGCGCCGGGCCAGGAACTTCTTAACTTCTTTTTTTGTTTGTTTTTTGTTTTTTGAGATGAAGTCTCACTCTTGTCACCAGGCTTGAGTACAATGGTGCCATCTCGGCTCACTGTAACCTCCGCTTCCTGGGTTCAAGCGATTCTCCTTCCTCTGCCTCCCAAGTAGCTGGGATTACAGGCGCCCATCCTCACACCCAGCTAATTTTTGTATTTTTAGTAGAGACGGGGTTTCACCACGCTGGCCAGGCTGGTCTTGAACTCCTGACCTCAGGTAATCTGCCCGCCTCGGCCTCACAGAGTGCTGGGATGACAGGGGTGAGCCACCGCATCCTGCCGGAACCTCTTAACTTCTTTTGTGATTTTGTGGGTAACAATCTGGGCAACAGTATTGAACTAAGAAAGTGGGCTCTCAACCCTGGACAGGTCACCACAGTTCTTGGTACTCAGCCCCCACCCAGTGATGCTGTTCGAGACGGTGCACCTGCTGGGGACGTTGTGTGGTGGGAGGCGCTCCAGAGAGTGCTAGAGTTAGCGCTTTTCTGTTTTCTGTTTGGAAGATTATAGGCTTCTTACGGCTTCTTGAGAGTTCAGCAGGGCCTTAGAAAGCATCTCCCAACCACAGAGACACGCTGTCTGGCTTTCCTGATGATGACAATTTGGCCTCACCTTGGACACCTGCAGTAATGGAGCGCTCACTACCTCTCAGGAGGTTCCTCCGCCAGTGCGGGAAAGCCTCCCTCCACCTGCAAGTGGGCCTCCCCTGTGCTGGTCAGCTCTCCCGTGTGTGTCATACAGGACACAGAGGAGATCATCCCGCGGGGCCTCCCTGGAGGAAGGGAGGCTGCGTGCGTGGGTAGGTGAGTGGAGGCCTGCAGGCAGTAGGAAGACCACATCGAAAGCCCACGGGCACAGCCGATGAACAGACCCCCAAGAGCAAGAACACAAGACGCAGGTCGAGGGACAAGGGCCTATGGGGTCTGGATCCGATTCTAGGTGAACGAGGAGGCGCTGCAGGGTTTTAAGCAGGAGAGCAACAAAGATTAAACTCTGGGGTGCAGCTGGGGCGGGGATGACATCAGTGATGGCAGCAAAAGAACGGATCCGAGACCTTTGTTGCAGAAGGAGCCGTCAGCCTTGCCTATGCCCAGAGATGGGACGCGGAGCAGAAGGTAAGCCCGGGACTCTGGCAGGAGCCACTGCGGGGATGAAGGTGTCACTACTCTGGTGGGGAATGGAGTGGGGAGATGTGAGATATTTACTGAGAAAAATCGAAAGAGTGCCACTCAGGAGATGCAAAATTCTCCATCCCAATGTGAAGACAACATCCGACTCCGAGCGGCAGGCCTTCCCTCCTCGGCCTGGGAAGCGCTTTTGAGGCCCGGGGAAGAGGCCCCTCCAGGAGGCGGCGGCCGAAGGCCAGGGAGAGTGCGGGGCGGCCGAGGGCCCTGAGCGGCCCAGCCCTGCCCACCCGCCCGCGCCCGCTCACCTCCAGCGCCTGGCCCAGCTCCAGGTCGAAGGTGACCACGCACACGCACTCCAGCCAGGCGGAGAAGCGCGCCCAGGGCGCCGCCGGGGTCCGCGCCGCGCGGCCTGAAGACCTGGGTCCAGCCGCGCCCAGGCAGCCGCGAGCCCGGCGAGGCCCTGTGCCCAACAGCGCGTCCATGGCGGCGGCCGCAGGTTGCCGGGGGAACGCGGGCGGGGGCGGTGCGCGTCCGGACCGCGTCTCAGAGCAGTCGAGCGGCCGCCGCGGCCCAGTGCGGCTCCACCGCGGCCGCGCGCCCCCTAGCGCCGGAGAAGCGCCAGCGGCCGGGCGCCGCCCAGGGCACCAGCGAGCCGGGCGCGCGCGGGCCAGAGCGGCCGGAGCCCACTGGGGGACTTCCGGGGAAGAGGCCGCACCGGAGTTTTCCACGGCCCTCGCCGTCTGAGGCCCGAGAGAGTCGGGTCGGCCCCGGTGCTAGCGGATGCCGGCTTGCGGGAGCCTCGCGGCCAGGCCGGGGAGGCAGAGCAAGGCCGCAGCCAGCCGGCGCCGAGCTCGTGGGGCTTCGCAGGTCCGGCCAGCCCGCCTCGCCCCACCGCGGAGCGGCGTCGCGGGCGTTTTCGTGGCGGAATGGCGTCTTCACTGAGCGCCCAGCCACCACCGCGGACTCGCGCTCCCGCCCCATGGACTCCCGCTAGTTTCCTCTGGGGCCGGTGCGGCCTGGGGTCGCGTCTGACCGCCGGTGTCCACGTGGCGCCTCTGCAGTTTCACTTTCCGGGGGAATCGCGGGAACCTGGAGCGCCTTCCCTCCCTCGCGAGGGCCACGGGCCCCACCGTGGTCCACAGAGCACCTCGAGGCCTGGCGTGGAAGGGCGAGTTTGGGGCTATCGGTAACTTAATGGAGCACGCCTTTGAGTCGTGGGCCTCGTGACGTTTCGGTGGAAGGCGGGCCGCATATACTGTGGTGGTCCCTTCAGATTACCACGTGTTGGCCAGACGCGGGGGCTCACATCTGTCCTCCCACCACTTTGGGAGGCCGAGCGGGGGTGGCGGATCATGAATCCAGGAGTTCGAGACAAGCCTGACCAACATGGTGAAATCCCGTCTCTACTGAAAATACAAAAAGTAGCCGGGTGTGGTGGCTGGAGGGCGCCGTAATCCCAGCTACTCCGGAGGCTGAAGCAGGAGAATCGCTTCAACCCCGAAGGCAAAGGTTGCAGTGAGCCGAAATTGTGCCTCCAGGCTGGGCGACAGAGCGAGACTCCATCTCAAATACATAAATAAATAAAAGATTACCACGTGTTGTTCGGATTATCTGGCCTAGGTGTGGGGTAGGCTGTCCCATCTAAGTTTATCACAACAAAATCGCCTAATGACACATTTCTCAGGACGTAGCTTCACCGTTGAGCAGCACATGAACGTGTTGTTTTTTTGAGACAGAGTTTTGCTCTTGTTGCCCAGGCTGGAGTGCAATGGCACGGTCTCAGCTCACTGCAACCTTCGCTTCCTGGGTTCAAGTGATTCTCCTGCCTCAGCCTCCCAAGTAGCTGGACTTACAGGCGTGCACCACCATGCCTGGCTAATTTCTGTATTTTTAGTTTTAGAAACAGGGTTTCACCATTTTGACCAGGCTGGTCTGGAACTCCTGAGCTCAGGTGATCTGCCCCCCAGGCCTCCCAGAGTGCTGGGATTACAGGCGTGAGCCATTGCGCCAGGCCAGACCGTGTTGCTTTTATTTTTATTTTTAGAGGAAAGGTCTCACTCTCTCTCAGGCTGGAGTGCAGTGGCCCATTGCAGCTCACTGCAGCCTCAATCCCCTGGCTCAAGCTGTCCTCCCACTCAGTCTCCTGGGTAGCTGAGGCTACAGGCACACGCTTCCATACCCCATTATTTTTAAAATTTTTTTTTTCTTTTTCTGGAAATGGGGTCTCATGTTGCCCGGGCTTGTTTTCATTTCTCTTGGGCATATGTAGAAACCAAATTGCTGAGGCATAGCCTGGGTATATGTTTAGCGTTTCCCAAAGCAGCCATACATTTAAAAACATTCCTACCAGGCCAGGCGAGGTGGCTCATGCCTGTAATCCCAGCACTTTGGGAAGCCCAAGCGGGTGGATCACCTGAGGTCAGGAGTTTGAGACCAACCTGGCCAACATGGTGAAACCCATTTCTTTTTTTTTTTTTTTTCTTTTTTTTTTTTTTTTTTTTGAGACGGAGTCTCGCTTTGTGGTCCAGGCTGGAGTGCAGTGGCCGGATCTCAGCTCACTGCAAGCTCCGCCTCCCGGGTTTACGCCATTCTCCTGCCTCAGCCTCCGGAGTAGCTGGGGCTACAGGCACCCGCCACCTCGCCCGGCTAGTTTTTTTTTGTATTTTTTAGTAGAGACGGGGTATCACCGTGTTAGCCAGGATGGTCTCGATCTCCTGACCTCGTGATCCGCCCGTCTCGGCCTCCCAAAGTGCTGGGAATGAAACCCATTTCTACTAAAAGACACAAAAATTAGCCAGGCATAGTGGCAGGCGCCTGTAATCCTAGCTACTCGGGAGGCTGAGGCATGAGATCGCTTGAACCTGGGAGGCGGAGGTTGCAGTGAGCCGAAATCGAGTCATTGCACTCCAGGCTGTGTGACAGAGCAAGACTTTGTCTCAAAAAAAATAAAAATAATAATAATAATAAAAAGTCCTACTAACAGTGTATAAGTGTTTCATTTACTTCACATCCTTCCCAACATTTGGTGTTGCCAAGCGTCTTCATTGTAGCCAATGAGTGGGTAGTGGTATCTGGTGATTTTTTTAATTTTATATATATTTTTAGAGAAGAGATCTCATCCTGTCACCCAGGCTGGAGTGCAGTGATGTGATCATGGCTCACTGCAGCCTGGAACTCCCAGGCTCAAGGGATCCTCCCGCATCAGCCCCCCCAGGTAGCTGTAACTACAGGCATGTGCCAGTGTACCTGTGTATTCTTGTGACTTGAATTTGCATTTTCCTGATTACTAATGGTCTTACGCATTTTTTTTCCCTGTGGTTACTGCACTGTCATTGTAAGATGTATTCTGGTATGACTAATGGTCTTGAGCATTTTTCCCCCCTGTGGTTACTGTATGCCATCATTGTAAGATGTATTCCGATTTTTTTTTTTTTGAGACAGAGTCTGGCTCTGTCGCCCAGGCTGGAGTGCAGTGGCCGGATCTCAGCTCACTGCAAGCTCCGCCTCCCGGGTTTACGCCATTCTCCTGCCTCAGCCTCCAAAGTAGCTGGGACTACAGGCGCCCGCCACCTCGCCCGGCTAGTTTTTCGTATATTTTTAGTAGAGACGGGGTTTCACCGTGTTCGCCAGGATAGTCTCGATCTCCTGACCTCGTGATCTGCCCGTCTCGGCCTCCCAAAGTGCTGGGATTACAGGCTTGAGCCACCGCGCCCGGCCGATGTATTCCGATTTTGAAGTAGGAGGCCAAACTTTATTCCAGACCAGATTAAAGACTGGCTGAAGGCCGGGCGCGGTGGCTCACGCCTGTAATCCCAGCATTTTGGGAGGCGGAAAAGGCAGGCAGATCATGAGGTCAGGAGATCGAGACCATCCTGGCTAACACGGTGAAAACCCATCTGTACTAAAAATACAAAAATTAGCCAGGTGTGGTGGTGCACACCTGTAGTCCCAGCTACTCGGGAGGCTGAGGCAGGAGAATCGCTTGAACCCAGGAGGCAGAGGTTGCAGTGAGCTGAGATCGCGCCACTGCAGTACAGCCTGGGTGACAGAGGGAGACTGTGTCTCAAAAAAAAAACCCAAAAAACAAAAAAGACTGGCTGCAACTGGGAAGAGGCAAAAGCACCTCTCCGTGAGACACGCCTGCCAGTACCATCTGTTTCCATTGCCATGGCAATGCCCACAAGTTACTGCCCCTTCCCATGATAACTACCCTAAAGTTAACGCCCTTTTTCTAAAACTTTCTGAATAACTTGCACCTTAATTTGTATATAATTAAAAGTAGTTGGCCGGGTGTGGTGGCTCACACCTGTAATCCCAGCACTTTGGGAGGCTGAGGCGGGCAGATCATGAGGTCAGTAGATCGAGACCATCCTGGCTAGATGGAGACCATCCTGGCTAACACGGTGAAACCCTGTCTCTACTAAAAATACAGAAATTAGCCAGTCATGGTGGTGGGTGCCTGTAATCCCAGCTACTCAGGAAGCTGAGGTATGAGAATCGCTTGAACCCAGGAGGCAGAGGTTGCAGTGAGCCGAGGTCACACCATTGCACTCCAGCCTGGGCGACAGAGGGAGACTCTGTCTCCGGAAAAAAAGAAAGAGAGAGAGAGAGAGAGAGGTAGGAGGCTTAGAGTCAGAGAAGTCAATGTGATGCTAGGATCTGAGAAAAAGAACCTGGAAGATGTTCAGCTGCTGGCTTTAAAGATGGAGGAAGACACTATGAACCAAGGGATGCAGGGCAAGCTGGAAAAAGCGAAGATACGGATTTTCCCTGGAGCTTCCCAAAGGAAGCCAACACCTGGATTTTAGTCCTGTAAGACTCATCTCAGATTTGTGAGCTACAGGACTGTAAGGTAATAAATGTGTGTGGTTATCAGCCACGATGTGTGTGGGGACCTGTGTTGGCAGCAACTGGAAACTAATGCATAGACTAGTTTATTCTGCCTGGTTTCTTGCACCTCACATTATGTTTTTGAGCTCATGCATATTGTTGCATGTACTAGTAGTTCATTCCTTCTCATGAATGGTATTTTTATATAACGTTTTCTTGTCCATTTACCATTTGAAGGACATTTGGATTGTTTCCAGTGTTTACTTATTATGACTCATGCTGCTGTGACATTTGTGTCCAAGTCTCTGTGGGGACACACATTTCCACTTTTGGGGGGTAGATACGTAGGAGTGAAAGTGTTGGGCTGTATGGTAAGTTTATGTTCAAACTTTGGAGAAATTATCAAACTTTTCTGAACAGTTTTACATTCCCACTAGGAATGTATAAAGGTTCCAGTTCTCCACATCCTCCCCGATGCTTAGTATTGTTCTAGCCATTCAAGGGGGCGGTCTGCAGCCGTACTTTATTGTGGATGAGTTTGGCATTTCCCTGAAGATTATTGATGTTGAGCATCTTATCATGTGCTTCTAAGTCATTCGTGTTAGCTTCTTTAAATAAATGTTTATGCAGATCTTTTGCCTATTTGTTTATTTATTTTTGAGACGGAGTCTGGCTCTGTCGCCCAGGCTGGAGTGCAGTGGAACGATCTCGGCTCACTGCAAGCTCCGCCTCCCGGGTTCACGCCATTCTCCTGCCTCAGCCTCTCAAGTAGCTGGGACTACAGATGCTGCCACCACACCTGGCTAATTTTTTTTTTTTTGTATTTTTAGTAGAGACGGGGTTTCACTGAGTTAGCAGGATGGTCTTGATCTCCTGACTTCGTGATCCGCCCGCCTCGGCTTCCCAAAGTGCTGGGATTACAGACATGAGCCACTGCGCTCGGCCTATTTATTTATTTATTTATTTGAGATGGAGTCTTGCTCTGTTGCCCAGGCTGGAATGCAGTGGTGTGATCTCGGCTCACTGCAACCTCCACCTCCTGGGTTCAAGCAATTCTCCTGCCTCAGTCTCCCAAGTAGCTGGGACTACAGGCGTGTGCCACCATGCCCAGCTAATTTTTGTATTTTTAGTAGAGAATTTTTTTTTTTTTTTTTT